GTTCAAACTTACTACCACAAAGGTGCTGAGATGCCTGCTGCCTCTGTTGGGAGAGCGTGCTGAGTATTGAGCAAGGCAAAACGCATGGCCCATCTCCAGGTAAGAAAGGTTAGAAATAAAAAGACATTTAAAACGAGACAATGCTTTCCAGGAAAAGAAAACGCAAAATGAAGAAGCCCATGGCTGCAGGCTCTGTTTTTATAGTTGCCAGTCTGAAGGAACTGCTCAGCAGCTGCCTTCAGCAATTCATRTGAAGCTGCGGAGGCTTCATTTACATCTCATTGAAATGAGCCTAGCTCTTACACTGCCCAATGTCTTCTATAACAACCTGCCTGAAGCCACCTTTTCCAGCTTCACRCCCTGATTTGAGTTTGCGGTTCTAAATAATACTTGGAAAAATCCTCACAGATTCAGCAGAAAACATCTACATTTTATGCAAGTTATTTCTGATGCAAAATTGTATCTAGAGCTCTGCCATGCCTTTGACCAGCCTGTGGGGAAGGCTGAAAGCAGAAGAGCTTGTGCATAGCTTCCACTTCCAAAGAGGCTGTTTCTCCAAAGGATTCACTGCATGAACTCAGTGCTAAAGCTTCAGACCACCGCAAACAAGGCTTCATTATGTGACTAACATATTGTATTCAATTCTAGGCTAGAGGTAATTTTAAAAAACTGAGAAAATTTCTTCAATGTTTCCTGAGCTATATAAACATAATAATAATAATAAAAAAAAACACTTTTTTGCATGTAGTGACTAGAAATGTGCAAGCTAAAGTTGTTGAAATTAGAAACTTCAAGCCGTGCTGCTTTGTTAATTCTCAGTAAGCCTTAAAGGAGTCTGTGCTTGAAGACAATTTTGAAATTACAAAAGCTTAAAATCAGCAGTTTCGTACATGCACRTTACAAAGTTAGAAACATCCCAGATGCATCCTCAGTGGAGAACCCACCCTGGAGTTCAGGGGAAGGCTCTCAGCAGGAAAACCSCTAGGGAAGCTGTTTGTAAGGGGACTCACTGGCCATACATGTGTTCAATACTGCCTAAGCCTTCAGGGACGAGGAGCCAGGGGAAGCTCCGTGCTCCACAGGCCTTGGCTCTTAGGCCATCACTTGAGTGAACGGCTGGCCTTTAACAACTCCATGGACACTGCACGTGAGGCTGAAGGAAGGGTGGTAGGAAAGCTGACGGCATAACCTAGTGTCTTCCTGGATGGGAAGAGAAAGGGAGTTATCCTGGAAAGCTGCATCATGAGCACAACCTCAGGACTGGAGGTTGGTGGGTGGTTGGTTTGTTCAAGAAACTTGTGAACTGTTTCTGCTGGCGTCTATGAGCTGAAGGATTAGCAARGCCATTGCAGCCCTCCCTGGGAATGTGTTGCTCCAAAGCTTCCACTGCAAACGGGTCAACAAAGTCCTGTGACAGGCAAGGAGCCTCAGCAGCTGCCCTAGCTGGAACCCATAGCCCAGGGCTCTTGTGTAAACATCTAAGCAGCTTCCGTGCTAACCAAGTAGGAAAAGCAGAAGGTGTTCGCTGAAGAGCCATCCACGTGTCGTCTACAATCAATGAAAATAACTGTTTATACTTTTCAATAGCGTTTTATTAACTGAGCATTTCAGAAGTTTTACTTACCGTCCTGGTCTGTAAGAGCACTGGACATTTTTCAAATTTGAGTCATCTTGTAAACAGAGACCGTCATGATCTGGGCTAAGAGGAAAGCGGGACTAGTGTAGACATGAAAAGTACACACGAGAGCTGCAGCCCTGCACCGAATGCTGCCCCTCTCCTAGGTTTTTGTAAATACGGGGTATGCAAAGAGCCAAGTCTGAAAAAATGTAAATTTAGATGCTGTGGCCTGTCAGTGTTTACTTATACTTAATTGCTCACTAATGGTATAATTATAATAACAAATTCCAGATGATTCATCATCATCATTTGCTTTCCACATTTGGGACTAAATTCAGCTAATTTATTCTGAAGAATTAGTGAGGTTTGCAGTGAAAACCATGAAATCTCTAGAATGTGTTTTACAGAAATTTCATGGCAATTAATGAGCTCATAAGTTTGTCTTCTAAACAACCTCTCCCAAATCAGGATCTGTCTCTTAATTACTCATTGTTTTGGCTTGTTTTTATTTTATTTTGCACTTTTTAACACTTTCAAAGTGGTAGCATTGAAACAGTTTGCCCATTGCTGTTAATGACATAGTCTCACTGTCTTCTGCTCAGATTGCTTTGTCTTTCTATGAGTGATCTGAATGTCCTTTGAAAATAATATATTTGCACTGAAAGAGCAGTTTTGGCACATGACGTGTCAGTTAGGAAGGCATGCAGCACAGAAAAAGGAGCAAAACTCTGACCTTTTGTCTAATAGTAAAAAAAATTTCTAATACTTGTAGGTTGRTATTTCTTTGAAACATTTCAATGATTGAAATATATTAGAGTTGATTATTTTGTCRAGCTATTTATGTGTATAAATATGCATATACACAACTATGTGTATGTGTGCATTTTTTGTGTATGCAGAAGTGCAGCCTTGCCATGACGAGCTGCAGGTGATACACATATGGGGACCATACCCAAGGTGCAGGACAGTAGAGAGCAGACCAGAACTGAAGCAGGACTATCCTCTTATATGTGTATTGTAGCCAGCAGAGGAAATMATTTCCTGAGGGGACTGTTGAAACAGGATGCCCTACTGTATACCAGATACTTTCTTAAGAATATATGTAACTGAGGCTAATKCTTGATATGGGTTGGTTCAGTATTTGTCAGATTGACCCCGTAGGAATTTGGTACTGGGTATCGGACTGAAAGGGCCTCCTGGGAAAGCTGAGTGTTGTTGAGGAGTAGTCTGTGTGGGTTCGTTTTGTTCGTGTCTTGTACCTGGCGTGTAGCTTTGCCAAGAGGCAGGTTGGTCTGGAAGAGGTGCCCKGTTGGCCATTCACCCAGGTTCAGCTTCAGCACCAAGGAGAAGAATGGAAGCGTCTCTAGTAAAACAGTGTTACTTYAGACAAAACTGGGACTTTCAGCAAAGTTGGGAGGAATAGGCCAGCTATGCCCATTGGTATTGATATTGAGAGGGGAAACTTTAAAGACTTAAGCAGAGAGAACTGTTGTACTAAAACTGAGGAGGGGGCAGTGTTTTAAGGCTGTGCTTGAGCTGCTGCAGTACCTCCTGCCTTGGCACTAGCCTGTGSATGTGGGGACGGTTGCGATGAGCTCCAGCCTGCGCGATGGGAGCGGAGGGAATCAGCGTCCCCAGAGCAGTGCCCGGGAGAGGAGGGAAAGGCAGCGCTGGAGCCTGCGAGGACGGGCTGGCCCCAAGCCGAGGTGCGCGACAGCCAGGGCCGCTGCAGCGTGAGAGTCAGCCTAGAGCTCCTGGTTCTGCGAGAACGAGTTCAAGAGTAAAATGGGAGTTACACAATTATTACAGATTGGCAGGCGATAAAGGCAGCTCTGCTGCCTTCCAAGATTTTGGCTGGGTAAACATCAAATGAAAGCAGATTTCTGAGTTGTTTCTGGACCCGCAGACCCTGGAGTTGTTCATTTTCTGCATAGCTCGGGAGGCCGATCAGATTTGGGGTACTAGCAAAGCAGGCAAAGACTCCAGGCTCTCGCTACCAAAAAATAATAAAGGGTTTTTGAAGAGGTTTCGTAGTGACTGACCTAGCAGTGTTATCTGTGAGTGGGAGTTTAATCTATGCTTTTACTCATGAAGAAGCCTTCGTTAGATTACAAAGTGCTGTTATATTTTATTTTTAGCATCTGAGATCCTGGCTTTTTTCTTTTTTGATACTTATAACTGCCCATACTGAATTCATTTTCTACTCATATGCATGCCATATGTATTCTTTATACTTTGACTATATTTCAGAATTTATTATCATATCCTTTTAATATACTGCTATCACATGTTCAAAGTCCAGTGTATTTATAYGCTACAGATATGTTTACCGCTAGCAAATTTTGAGGCATTGTAAAAATCATATTAATCAACTTAGTTTCCTGTAATCACTGCGAAATGGGAGCAGGTGAAAACTTGCTGCAGAGATGAGAAAACTACGTTAAAAAGGCACAATCTTGCATAGAAAACATTTTGACTGCCTCTCAGTTTGTAGAGGAGACATTTCTTTGAAACCTTAGGACAGAAAATGACGACTGAACAAGAGGCCTAATGATGAAATTACCCTTGCTGTGGAGTGACTGCTAGGAAAGATCCTCTGCATGTTTTGGCCGCAGTATTGGCAGCGCATGTGTATAGTAGACTTCTTGCTAAGGAGATAAATGCCAGTGTGTGGAAGTRTAAGTATTCCAGACTCCAGGGGGGAGCAGAGCCAGGCTCCCTAATGAGCCTGCTGGCAACTGATTCAGTTATTAAAATATTAGTAATAGTAGTGGCCCATATGCACATAGCATGATGGAGGACTCCGAAGCAGAAGTCACTAGGGCTTCAGTACTGTGTGTGCTGCAAGAGCCGGTCCCAGGTCACAACTTGGTAGCTCTAGTTCGTTCCATGGGTTCCAGCCTGGGAAAACAGTGCAGTTGCTCACGTTCTCCGTTCGGTCATTTACATAAGGGATACCAGAGGGGTCTGTGAGCCTGACTGTTACCTCTAAAACAGTAGCCTGCAACTGATGGTTCACAGGCAGCACGTTGCCTCTGAGATCTCATATTGCTCAGGGCTGAAAGGAAATTAAAAAGTTAAAAATGAGGCCAGCAGGGAGAGGAGGATATGATGTTGCTGTGTCATGTTACTTGTTCAGAATTGTTGCCCAGAGGCCAGAGCACTTTGGGGAACCACTTTTCTAAACACTTCTAAAGTGAAACAGATGTCATTCTCTCATTTCAGCAAATGTTACAGTCCAACCTCGTCAGTCTTTGTCGTTTACATAGTAAAAACCGCTCCRTGTGCAGGAATGTTCTGTGCTGCAGTGATGCACGTGGGTGTTCACGAGCGAGTTTCTTTTCCTCCTTGCCTGACCCGTTTGTCTGCTCTGTGCCTCCAGGTACCAGATTCACACAGGACTCCAGCATTCCATCATACGGCCCACCCAGCCCAACTGTTTGCCTCTGGACAATGTGACCCTACCTCAGAAGCTGAAGGAGGTTGGTTATTCAACACACATGGTTGGCAAGTGGCACCTGGGGTTTTATCGCAAGGAGTGCATGCCCACACAGAGAGGATTCGATACCTTTTTTGGCTCGCTGTTAGGCAGTGGTGATTATTACACGCATTTCAAGTGCGACAGCCCTGGGATATGTGGCTATGACCTGTATGAGAACGACAATGCGGCTTGGGATCACGACAATGGCATCTACTCAACACAGATGTACACGCAGAAAGTACAGCAAATCTTAGCTTCTCACAACCCCAGGAAACCTATATTCTTATATATTGCTTACCAAGCTGTCCATTCACCTCTTCAGGCACCAGGCAAGTATTTTGAACATTATCGATCAATAAATAACATTAACAGGCGAAGATATGCTGCCATGCTAGCTTGTTTGGATGAAGCCATAAACAATGTAACTCTTGCTTTAAAGAAGTATGGTTACTATGACAATAGCATTATCATATACTCTTCAGATAATGGGGGGCAGCCAACAGCTGGAGGGAGTAACTGGCCTCTCAGAGGAAGCAAGGGCACCTATTGGGAAGGAGGAATMCGCGCTGTTGGTTTTGTTCACAGTCCTCTTCTGAAAAACAAAGGCTCTGTGTGTAAGGAGCTTGTGCACATCACAGACTGGTTCCCCACTTTGATCACTCTGGCAGAAGGGCAGATTGATGAAGATATCCAGCTGGACGGCTACGATATTTGGGAAACCATTAGTGAAGGCAGGCGTTCTCCAAGGGTGGACATCTTGCACAATATCGACCCCATCTATACCAAAGCCAAGAACGGATCGTGGGCAGCAGGCTATGGGATCTGGAACACAGCRATCCAGTCAGCCATCCGAGTGAACCATTGGAAACTACTGACAGGAAATCCTGGCTATAGTGACTGGGTACCTCCACAGGCTTTTAGCAATGCGGGCCCTAATCGCTGGCACAACGAACGTGTTTCCTGGTCAGCTGGCAAAACTGTGTGGCTTTTCAACATAACTGCTGATCCCTATGAGCGGGTGGACCTGTCTGCAAGGTACCCACACGTGGTGAAGGAGTTACTGCAGAGACTTTCGCAGTTCAAYAAGACCGCAGTTCCTGTTCGATACCCGCCTAAAGACCCTCGCAGTAACCCGAAACTTAACGGAGGAGTTTGGGGGCCGTGGTTTAAGGAGGATGAAAAGAAAAAGAAAGGAGATAAAAATAAAGGTGCAAATAAACAAAAGAAGAAGAACAAGAAAAAGGCAAATAGGAAAAAAGGGCAATCATTTCGTTGCCATACACATCTTGATGGTGGATAGACAGGAGCACATTCTGTGGCCGAGTCTAAGTCAGCTTGGCTCAGCCGTCTTGAACTTGGGACAGAACATGCTGGGAATGCCAGCTCTGCACTGAGGATGAAAGCTGTCATCTCTCCCTTTGTTCTCAAATTTCACCTGCACGAGATATGTTGAGACTCTGCCTTGAGTGTATGTAAAGATGCACAGGACAAACTTTCTCCTCTGAAGGGTGAATGGTGCTCAGCCATCAGGACGACATTCCAAAGAACAGTGGAGATACTGCTGAACTTGAGTGATCCCATTTTTGATGGACAAATGGTGGGGAAATTCCCTGCCTAGATTAGTCTGAACATTTGGAGAGAGAGAGAGAAGAGGTTTATGGTARATGTTCTCAAGCAGGCAGGTCATTCATAGGAAGAAAGGAAAAACAAAACTTGACAAATTCTGTCGTTCAGAGTATTAGTCATCAGGCTGTGCCTCTTTTTTTGGTACGGCACAGCAAAAACACAAAGCCATCAAACTAACTTCGTGTGTGTGTGTGTGTGTTAAGTGTGTTTGTTGGGGGCTGGGAGGGAGCGGGGAGAGCCTGATAGGAAGAAAGCTGCTTGGAATTGGACTGTCTGTCTTATATAAATCGTATAAATCAGAACTTTTTTTTTAGTTCCCTAGATGTGCTAAGCTCTCACTTCCAGTAAAACCAGAAAGCTGCTGTTCAGCACACATGAACAGCTAGCACAGGCTTTGAATAATTTATTATAGGCAAAGACAAAAGCACGCCACCAAAGTGAATGTAATACTTAAACACTTTAAGCTAACTGTAGTACAGTACATAAAAGACATAATTTATTTTATAGCATGACAGTCTTCCAGGTACAGCACAGCTCTCTTCCATTAAAACTTTAATTGGTGGGTGGTGCAAAGCACCCCTTTGGGTGATAGGGTTGTGGGTGTTTTGGGATTTTTTTTTTTGATTATTAATTTTGTTTCAACTTTATCATTCAAAGAATTTTATTTCACATTCTAAGTCCTCAGAGTGCCGTAAAACAAGAAAATACTGTAGACAGGATGAGGAAACAAGAATGATTCAGGTACATCATTTTGTTGTGTATTTGTCTCCAGTTATTTTGAATGTAACAAAGTGATTATTTAATTTAGTAGTCGTGTATATTGTTCAGTTTCTGTACAGAGACTAGACCATCTTYATGCTTTGGGGGAAAAGTCTACTTTAAACCTTTTATTTATGTATGTATTAAAATAGTTTATTTTTATGGCATTCGTAAATGTAGTCTGTCTCTTCATTAAAGATAGCAATCATGTTCTTGTTTAATTTAAATGTACTCAGTAGGCTTGTTACTATCATTTTTTGGTGCAGGGATGATTTTATGATATTAATCTTCTGAAACAAAACTCTCACGGTGTATGTATATAGTTTGAGACGTGGTTCCAACTTTGGTTTTTGAAGTGGGTGATTTAAAAACAAAGGGGGGGAAAAAGAAGAAAAGAAAAGAAAAAAGAAAAGAAAAAAGAAAAGAAGAGTTCTCAGGTGCCTAGGTGGATGTACTGATTTCATACTCTTGGTTGTCTATGGTAAGTGTAAATATACATGTGTATACACACATACCTATGTAAATATAAATCTCAACATGAATTAGATTAAGTGAAATGATGCTTTGTTTGTCAAACAACTATCACATTCTGGTAAAACTGAAAATAAGCTTGGTTTCCATCAGTATCTCACTTGCCTCAGAAATCACTGATACAATTGGACTGCAGTTGAAAAATTAAAGGTTTGCAGAACTAGTGCACACTAAAATCTGAATGAAGTTTGACAAACCAAAAACCTRTCCTTTTTGGAAACAAATGTACGTGCAGACATATAGCAATAAAAATTAGTGCATTAACAGATATGTAGCTATATCTCAGAATAAAGCTGTCATTAACAAACACATAGGAACTAGCTAGTCATATTTTAGAGTTACTCGTACCAAAAATCACCCTGTGAAGATGATAAGAATGGGCATCTTTAATAGCTACCTATAAGTAATAATCATAGAATAATATATAGCCACAGAAGTGTTTAATGTCATGATTCTCTCTTTCATAGTGTATGGTCTTAGTGGGTATAATTAATGTTCTCAGGGGTCTGTCTAGCTTTACTTAGGATATAGAATATTCAGTGACTAACTAGCAAGTCAGCTGTTCTTTAATATCTCAGCTCTTTTAAATGCGATATTAATGTCCTTAGAAGAAATTATAATAATGTCTTAAGATACCATACTGTAAAGTATCATGTATAAAATAGACTCTCAAATGTTTGTATTTTTTTTCTTTTTGGTCTTTGAGGAAAAATCTGGGACTGTTTAAGGTAGCTGGGACCCTCGGAATACATGTGCTTGTAAAAATGTGGAAGCACTTTTTGTAATATATCTTTCTACTTTGTAAAAGAGTCTGTATTATAATAATCAACTTGAGAAGAGCAATCAAGGAAGCAAGAACTCATTTAAAAAATAGGCTATCTGGTTTACTTCTTAACACATAAATCATTATATTTTTATTTGAAATGCCCCTGTGTTGCACACTGAGCCCAGCATCAGAAAGGAGGAGTAATACTTTCAACTTAGCAAGGTCATTTAGAAAGGCCAAAATTAGATCATGTTTAAGGTAAACTGTATATAAAACAAGAAAGACAGTTTATTTGGCTATCATCTTTTGGCATAATAGAAATAAAAGCACTGTAATGAAGTGTCACCATTGTAGAAATGATTTTCTTGCCCTACCCATGAAATGTTTACTCATTGCTTTGGCTTTTATTGGTCTGAAGCAACCATAGAGCATTATTACATTTCCTTCCAAAATGATTTATTTATCTTTTCTCTCAGGGCAAAATGGGAGTTTTTGGAAGTAAACAGTGCAAAGCAGAGCAGGTAGGTGAGTTCCTGTGTGCCTTCTGCATCTGCACCGCAGCAGCGAGTGTGCACTCCGTGCAGAGAGGGAGCAGTTTCTGAGGCTGCTGGCTCTTAGCTGATACCCTGAACGTCGATACCCAGATCTGGTACAGGGCAAAAGTTGGATAACAGTTCTAACAGGAAAAAAAAAACACAGTTTGGAAASCTTTCTAAATCTTTTATTGAAAATATCCTGGGGTGAAGATACGACATTACAATTTTCCTGTGTGTTCTAGCACGCTGCTGCTCTTCTCGCACCACCAGTACAGTGACGTCTAGCTTTGGGTGACACCACTGAGCTCTCCGGGCTGACTTTGGCTTTACCGAGTTGTAAATAGTTAAACACTCTCCCAGGAGACTTTTGCAGGTAACGTGTGTCTCAGAACATGTTGCGTGTCCGACCTTGAGGGAGGGATCAGGATAAACAGTGCAACGAGTGCAGGGAGGGCTGCTGGACTTAGTGAAACCGTAGTCCTATGTTCTGAAGCACGCCCAACAGTTCTTGTATYTGCKGGRCAAGCGAACTGAGGGAGTTATTACYTTACTGATGCTAGCACGTTTGCTCAAAGGCAGGCTTGAAATCTAACTGATGCTCATAATTTATAACAAGCGGCCTCCCTAGCCACATCTTTAAGATACAGAAAAAGACTGGGTGAAATAGGAAAGGATGGGGTGGATTTTCTRCTATTATTTTTAAGTTACTTTAAGCCTTCTGTTTACTGTATACCACTGCATACAGGGAAAAGATGGGACTGGTAGTATCTCTCTGATCTAACACCCCCACCTTTGGAAGGACCAGCCTGAGCAGAGAGACTGTATTTCTTTCTTTTTCCATCTGTTGCTGATAGCTGTGATCCTGGATCATGATTTCTACACCAAAGCAACCTGAAGAGTGATAAGCAACTGAGGGAAAAGCTCAAGGAAGAAAAGAAACAGAAGCAAGAAAACTTTGCCTCCTGACATGTCTTCACTGAATGTAGTGTATCATTCTCTCTCTAAAAATCTATGAATGTGAAAAATGTGTTGCCACTTTCATGCTTTATCATCTTTTTTTYCCTAAAACTCTCTGGATTCAAATGGTTAAATAGTTTTGTCATCCACTATTAAGTTTATTATTATTATTTATCATTTTGCTTGCCATGAAGTTGGAGGCAAAAGACTATCCTGGTTACAGATGAAGATAAGTGTAATGGTAAGTAAATAAGAAAATAGGACCTGTTAGATGTGGATCATATTGTAAGATAGAAGGGAAAGTCCATGCAGCCTGAAGCTCAGGCGTGGAGGATGAGTCATTGTAAGTATGGACTCGTAAGTGGCCAAAGCCATCCACTGTAGATTCCTGCTTCTGCTGGGACATGAGGCTTGTTTGGAAAGTGAATTAGACCATTAAACCCAGCAACTTTCTCTCCTTGGAAGTAATGGATGCTGATTGAATTTCAAGCTGATGAAAAAGCACTCCTGTTTCCATCTGTACAGGATTATACATAATGGGTTATCTGAAGTGCCGTCTAGACAACACCGAAACTTTTTTGTGGTTTCATAGTACAGACTAAGCTGCTTTCTTTTTTGTCTTTCTGTATTTCATACACTGTTCAGCAACCAAGGTTTACAGTACTGCACAGCTGTACAGATTTTACAAGTTGCTTTGTATAAGGAGCATTACTTTTTTCAACAGAATATGAGATGGCAATGAGAGACTATGCAAGCTCAGGTACTGGGCTAAAGCACTAAAAAATAAACTAGGAAATGACTTTTTGTTAAAATTTATTTTGCATTTAAATAGCTTCAGATTTGGTTGATGGTAAATAATAAGACTACTTTCCACATGGTGAGTAGGGAAAAGAAATGGATGCGTCTGAATTCTTCTTAAACTGCAAGGAGATACTGAATGTCCTTATGTGGTATTCTTTAGAGCAAATGGAGGTACTGGATCTCTCAGCTCCCATTCCAAAGGTTATTCAGAAAATCTCTGAAGAAAGAAGGGGAAAAAATAGTCATATATATTCTATAGGATTTTTGTTTCCAGATTTGGAGATACTGCTATGAACAGAGGATATTTCCTTCTTTGGCTGTTACTGTGCGTGATAACTCTAGAAAACAGGATTTGTAATTGTTAGTAGCTATCATTCACTGACTCACTGCACGTTCTTTCTGTCATCTTACTTCAAACCGAGTAAATATTTGTCAAGGATGTTTAAGTTAAGCAAATAAAATACATGTATTCAAAAGATGCATGAACTCAGGAACGGACAGTACAATATACATCATCATTTGATTACCAGGTCAAAACTATGCTCTAAGGACAGCTCTTGCTGTTCTCAATCTTATTTTTTCTGGTTTCCAAGAGAGGTCTGAGAAGTYTCACTTGCATGAAGAAGAGTATTTTTAGCAATTAAATAACAGTTCAGCCATCTTTTCTCTGTTATTCCACTTCCATATTTGTTTTAGAAGTTGAACCGAAGGAATCCCTACGGTCTAACACTGTGTGGTACTTCCTGAATAGGACCTTTGGCTGTTTGACATGTTTTCAGTTTCTCAGTAGGCTCATTGGTATCATTGGTATCAATGGCATCATTGGTAGTGGTTACAGTAGTCCAGGATTTGTTTCATACAAGCCAGGTAACAGGAGAAGGACCATCTCCTCCGAGGTGAGGAGTCCCTACTTTTTGACTTCTGATGAACTGCATGATGTGAGGGTTTTCACCYGCCGCCAGCCAGCCTGTTGGTGCACCTTCATTCTGAGCTAGACACGTTCCAGAACTCCACGAGCTTCAGTAAAGCGTGTTTTGACATGGCGCGATTTATCATGTAACCTATGCCACTTTGCCTTTCTTTTTTTTCACTTTTTTTTTTTTAAACACCATTTCTGCTTTCTTTGCGTTACCTGAAAAGTTTGTCTGCAGTTGCATTCTAATGGCCGTTTCCAAAAAATGCAAGGAAGTGAAAAGAAAAGCTTGAACTGGGCCTAATGCTACTTCCTGCCAAAACACCTGCTTCTGACAACAGTTTCTCATTGGCAGCAGCATTTAAGGCATGTCGGTTAGCCCGTGTTATTTTAACCTCTGCTTGRTTCAAGAAGCAAAAGAGCTTGGCACTTAGGAGACTTGCGTACCCCAAGCTGGCAGTCGTGGTGTTCAATAGGCAGCGCTGGACCTAGAGCATCCCCTACTGCTTGAATCTCAAGATGACAGGCCAAGGCCAGCAGCCCGAGAGGGGACTGGCCCCTCAGGTTGGTGCTTACCCTGCAGTTCTACATGGGGCAAGCTCTTAGCCCTCAGGTGTTCTTAGGTTTCTACAGAAGAAAAAAAAAAAAAAGAAAAAGAAAAAGAGAAAAAAAAAAAAAAGAAAACTTGTTTGAAACTGTCCTAAAGAAAAGACTTTGAGCTTTTCTCTGAAATTCCCTTCTTTGTTTTAATTGCACATCAGTTTTTAAAAGCTTGTGCAAAACAGAAGATGAAAAATACAAAAGAAGGTATAMAATAAGCTATCCTTGGTATGCTTTATATCGCAAAACAC